CACGTGGGACACGACGACCAGTGCGAGCAGTGCGTACAGGCGACGCGGGACGAGACGCAGGCTCACGACGCTCTGTAAGACCTCCTGTGGGACCAGTGTAGGGAGAGGGACCAGGGAGAGGCGAGGCAGGCGGTAACTGGGACTGCGACTGGACAGGCAACGGACACTCTACGGAGGGAGGAGGACAAGGAGGAGGAGCCTGACCAAGAACCTGCTGAAGGAGAGGTACGAAGTACGGTCGCGGTCGCCCAGTGTCTCCAGAACCAGCAGAGACACCAGTGCCAGGGTCCTCAGTACCAGCAGCAGCTCCACCGCTCGGGTCCTCAGCACCAGCAGCAGCTCCACCGACCGGGTCCTCAGCACCAGCAGCAGCTCCACCGCTCGGGTCCTCAGCACCAGCAGCAGCTCCACCGCTCGGGTCCTCAGCACCAGCAGCAGCTCCACCGACCGGGTCCTCAGTACCAGCAGCAGCTCCACCGCTCGGGTCCTCAGCACCAGCAGCAGCTCCACCGTCCGGGTCCTCAGCACCAGCAGCAGCTCCACCGTCCGGGTCCGCAGCACCAGGAGCTCCACTCCGAAGACTGCAACGCCGCATGTACCACTCTCGAATCTGCTGAAGGGAGGGGAGCTCCCGGGTAGGAGGGGAAGTACTGGTACCAGCTCCAGCAGCACCTCTCCGGAGGCGGCAGTACTGTAGGTACCTCTCCTGCAGCTGCTGGGAGGAGAGGGCTCCTCCAGGTGTAGCACTCTCAGGCTCAGCACCTCCAGACTCAGCACCCCCAGACTCAGCACCCCCAGACTCAGCACCCCCAGGCTCAGCACCCCCAGGCTCCGCACCTCCAGGCTCCGCACCTCCAGGCTCCGCACCCCCAGGCTCAGCACCGCCAGGCTCCTCACGCGCAGGCTCAGCACCCCTAGCAGGACGAGACTCGACAGCTACCTCGACAGGCTCAACTGGGTCTACCTGGGACACACCTGAGGGAGCGGCACCCTGAGGGGGGAGGGGGTCTACCACAGCAGCACCTGGCGCGAGGAAGAGAGGCGGGGGGGGGAGCGGGGCAGTGCGGTAGGGGAAGAGGCGGTAGAAGGGGACGGACTCGTCAAAACTGACATCCTGAGAGGGCAGAACCCGGCGCGAGGTGACGTGGTAAAACTGCCAGCCAGGCGCGTCCGGGACAAAGCCAAGGAAGACACAGGGGACAGCGCGACGGGAGAGCTTGTCCGCGGACGTGTCGCGAACAAAAGCTCGGGATCCCCAGACCCGAAAACGTGACGCATCGCCAGCCTCTCCTGTCCAACGCAGTGTCGGAGAAGTCTCCGGCAAGGAGACACGGGGCCAGAGGTTGAGCTGGTGCGCAGCGTATCGGACCGCAAACGGCCACAGAAAGTGGGGAGCAGCCGCATGGATCAGGGAGGTACGAGCGATCTCCATGACCAAGCCAATGCGGCGCTCAGCAACCCCATTCTGCTGTGGAGAGGCCGGAAGCGTGAACGACTGCTCAATGCCGTGCTCGGCACAGTAGGCTGCCAAGAGGTCGGAGGAGAACTCACCACCTCTGTCAGAGTGCAAGCGCAGGACAGGAAAGTCCGAGTGAAAACGCTTGCCTAGCTGGAGACGAGCTCTGCGGATCCAGGGGATCAAAACACCAGGGACCTCACCCTTGGTGCGCAAGGGGAAGACCGTGGTGTAGCGCGAGTAGTCGTCAACAACTATCAGGAAGTACCTCTCCTGACCGTGACCACGGACGCGGGCTGGGCCCCACACGTCTATGTGGAGCGTCTGCAAGGGAGCAGTCGTCGGGGGAAAGGAGGAGGAGTGAGGAGCGGCGCGCTGCCGCCCCTCGACATAGGGAAGACAGGGAGGAGCAGGCGAGGGTGGGAGGGGAGGGAGAACCCTGGGAAGACCAGCAACAAGGTTCCGTTTGTGCATGGCACGAAGGCGCTGCACAGACGGGTGGCCAAGTCGGTGGTGCCAGAGGACGGTGTCGTGTGCCAGAGAGCGACACGAGCAGGGGGCCGACATCTGGCCGGACGCAGACGCAGACGCGGACGCAGCTACCTGAGGGGACTCAGTGGTCAGTGTGTACAGGTCCGACCCCGGCTGCCGAGTGAAGGTAGCCAGGTGACGGCCCGTCCGAGCACACGTGCAGTGTGTCACGCGCTCGTAGGCAGGGGTGAACTGGTGAACACCCCCGTCCTGGAGTGCACGACCCGCCACCAAGTTCGTAGAGAACGAGGGGAGGTAGAGACCTGACAGTGTGCCAGACGGGACCGCAGGACAGGGAAGAACAGTGGAGGAGGTCGCAATGACCGGACCCCCAGAGGGGTCAGCGAGGGAGACAGCAACTGGCCGAGCAAGCGGCTCAAGGACAGTGCGGTCACGAAAGAAACAGCGAGAAGCACCTGAGTCCAGGGTGAAGGTGTGCAGTGCCTCAGTCGACTCAGTACCAGGGGAGACAGACTCGCTAGCACCTAGAGCGACAGCCTCACCATCACCTGAGGTGGTAGACACGAGAGGACCTGCAGTGGCAGTCTCACTAGTACCTAGAGCAGTAGGCTCACCAGTAGCTGGAGTGGCAGACACGTGAGTACCGGGAGTGGTAGCCTCACCTGCACCTAGGGCAACAGACGTACTAGCACCTAGAGCGGCAGCCTCACTCACAGGACTCGGCAGCTGCACCTGTCCACTACCAGTAGCTCCCGAACGACGCACTCCAGAGCGTTTACCACTACGGCCACTCCGACAGCCCAAACTGGCGTACCACTCACGAGCCTGCTGGAGCATAAGAGGGCACGGCTGCTGCACCTGTCCACTACCAGAGGCTCCCGAACGACGCACTCCAGAGCGACTACCACTACGGCCACCCCGACTGCCCAAACCGGCGTACCACTCACGAGCCTGCTGGAGCATAAGAGGGCACGGCTGCTGCACCTGTCCACTACCAGAGGCTCCCGAACGACGCACTCCAGAGCGACTACCACTACGGCCACCCCGACTGCCCAAGCCGGCGTACCACTCACGAGCCTGCTGGAGCATAAGAGGGCACGGCTGCTGCACCTGTCCACTACCAGAGGCTCCCGAACGACGCACTCCAGAGCGACTACCACTACGGCCACCCCGACTGCCCAAACCGGCGTACCACTCACGAGCCTGCTGGAGCTGCATCTGGCCACGTCAGGAGCAGCAGCAGTAGTGGCAGCAACAGCAGTGGCAGTGGGAGTAGAAAAGGCAGTAGCAGCAGTAGTAGCGGGAGCAGTGCTGGTAGGGCAAAGCTCACCAGTGGTAGGCGCGGCGGGCGCAAGACGGTGGTGACAGCGGGGCCGCTGCAACTGCGGGGCGGGGCCAGGTCGCAGCAGGGAGCTCCGCGGTAGCTGCTGCAGGGTCGGCGGCGGCAGCTGCTGTAAGGTCGACGGCGGCAGATGCTGCAGTCTCAGCGGCGGCAGCTGCTGTAGAGTCGGCGGCGGCTGCTGCTGGAGGCTCGGCGGCGGCAGCTGCTGCAGGTCGAGCGGCGGCTGCTGCTGCAGGCTCGGCGGCTGCAGCTGCTGCAGGTCCGGCGGCGGCTGCTGCTGCAGGGTCGGCGGCGGCCGCTGCTGTAGGCTCGGCGGCGGCAGCTGCTGCAGGCTCGGCGGCGGCAGCTGCTGTAGGTCGAGCGGCGGCTGCTGCTGCAGGCTCGGCGGCGGCAGCTGCTGCAGGTCCGGCGGCGGCTGCTGCTGCAGGCTTGGCAGCGGCAGCTGCTGCTGCAGGGTCGGTGGCGGCTGCTGCTGCAGGCTCGGCGGCGGCAGCTGCTGCAGGTCGGCGGCGGCTGCTGCTGCAGGGTCGGCGGCGGCTGCTGCTGCAGGCTCGGTGGCGGCAGCGACGAAGCCGCGAAGGGGCGGCTGAGGGGTCGCGACGGGCGGCGAAGGGGCCGCGACGCGCGGGTAAGGGGCCGCGACGGGCGGGTAAAGGGGCCGCGACGGGCGGATAAGGGGCCGCCGGCAGAGGCTACGTCGCGGGCACGCGACGACGCCGTAGGGAGGCGGCGATGCCACGGGCAGCGAGAGCCTACAGAGGCGGCGCGCAGGTGGCTAAGGGGTCACGCGCACGGCAAGCGGGCCGCGCGTGGGTGGCTAGCGGGCTGCGCGCGCGCGGAATCGAGAGGCGCACGAGGGCGCGAGGGCGCACGAGGGCGCGCGGAATCGAGAGGCGCACGAGGGCGCGAGGGCGCACGAGGGCGCGCGGTAGTGAGAGGCGCACGAGGGCGCGAGGGCGCACGAGGGCGCACGAGTAGAGAGAGGCGCACGAGGGCGCAAGTGAGACGAGGCGCACGAGGGCGCTAACGGAACGGTGGGCCCGTAGTAGGAGGCGGTCCTAGGTGCCTAACCTAGGCCTCTGATACCATGTTAGAATGAACAAGTGTTGTTGGACTAGAAGGAAATGAGAGTACAAATAGGAAACCCTAGAGTTGTGACCCCCCTATAGGCTAACCCACTACAGCCTACACAAATATAACATATAATGTTTGACACCCGCATCTTCTTAGCGGCATCTGGGTCGAAGCTCCAGGTTCTCAGCACGTCCACCTGCTCGTGAATGATGCTCTTCTCTTCTTTCGTGATAGCGACTTTCTTCGCGTTCTCGAAATATTTCGCGACCTTGAGCTCGATCTTAGCAGCATCATGTCCCTTCGTCGCTGCCGTAACGATATGCTTCCAAACCGCGAGGTAAAGAACCACGCCCAGATTGTTCGCTCCTGCTAGCAGCGCGGCCTCTTTCGCGCTCGCTTCCGCGGTCTTTCGATCAAATCCCTTACACTCCATCCAGGCAACAGCGCAAACAAACGCCACACCCCCAGCTTCAGCGGGCACAGATTTCTTGCCCTTCGCGGGTGACTCGTCCGCCACGGTCTCAAGTCCAACCGCAGCAGAGAAGGCGACCTCGTCGCTTGCTTCCGCGTTTTCGTCCTTCAAAGTCCTGTATCGTGAGATCACAGCTCGAAACCTGCAAGCGTGACATCGATACATTAATTTCGCGTGTTGTTTAAAGAGATCGCGTGAAAAGCAGAACCAGACGTTACTGACCTTTCGGGGCTCGCGCAGGCACATCGCAGATAAAGCACCGCGAAAACTCCAGGGTGCATAATCCGCGCCACATCAAGATCCGGGGTCCACTCCTCTTCTTCATCGTCCGTCAAAACCAGCTTGTCCTCGGGAATCTGCTGATTCCACACCATCTGTGCCACCACGCACAGAAACCGCACGGAAGGGAGCTTAGTGTGGGAACCAAAGTACCACCGTGACGAATGGTGAAGCTCCAAGGTGAACAAGCCACGCGTGTTCTTCCGAATACCAACACCCCATTTCGGATCCTCCTTCTCCTTTCCTTTCGCGCTTCCCTTCACGTCCGCCTTCTCTGTGTGCTGAACCATGGACAGCCACTGTTGCATGGCCGCCGTTGCCTCCGCATCTGCGTCAGGGGTTTCCTCTGCGCCCTGTAGCAAGGGCACAAAAGCTTGCTGGATCGCGGCAGCTCCAGCCAGTGGACGCCCCCCAGTTCCAAACGCGATCGCCGAGGCCCCCTTCACAGGCGCAACCGCGGCCTTGGACTTCTGAGCCAAGCTCCCGCGGCCAGGTTCTCGGGCCTCCGGTTGCTCGGACGATCCCTTCACCCTCTTGGAGGGCGGCGAGGGTGAACGGGGGGTCGGTAACCCTGGTGGCCTCTTCGATCCACGATCCTCACTCCCAGTTGCTTCCGCGGGTTCCATGCGCAAGGGTGCGGTGGCCAACCTGATGCCTCCCCCTCCACGGTCCGCGGCGGTCGCCACACCTGCCTCGAACGTCCCCATCCTTCCCCACGGGGCGATCTCGTAACGCGTTCGCGCCACCGCCTCCGAAATCGAATCCGCAATCAGGGCCCTCAGTCCCACCATGGTGTCCTCCAACCTATGGAGCGTACGGTCCGCGGCTTCGCGCTGCACAGTCGCAGACCCACGCTCAACCCTTAGCTCCTGGACCAAGCCCTCGACTGTCCGCGCCCATTTTTCCTCGGCCTCTTGAAACCGCGTTGCGATGTTGGCCGTCCTCGTAATGGCCGCGTCCAGATTGTCCTTCTGGACTTGAAGATCATTCAGAAGGCCGCGAATCCGATTGCGCTGAACCTTGAGGGCGTGATCCGAGTCGTACTGAGCCTGAATCGAATCATCCAGAGCACCTTCCAGCCGGAGCACCTCGTGCGCGAGCGTTGACAGTGGCCATTTCAGCAGCTCGGATAACGTGTGGCGCGGAATATTCGACTCCTCGTTCGCGCCAGCAGCAGGCTGCTCTTGAGGCGCGGAGGGTTCCTGGGCCGAGGTCTTGGTTCGCGCGGTTTTTGCTGCGGCAGTCCGATCGTGAGTGTCAACCGTGGCCTTCTCGGTGGCAGCAGCAGCGGCGGCATTGCAGTCTCGCTGCTCACCGTCCTTGCCGTCGTCATCCCCTTCACCCGCGTTACCGTCGTCATCCCCTTCACCCGCCCCCTCGGTTTCTTCCCCGCCCACTGCTTCCAGATATTCCTCGTCTTCGGGCTCATCGTGCCTGGTCTCAACCGCGTGTCGCCGGCCTGACGTCTCTCCGGACCCTCCGGCCTGGTCGGAGATGCTCATCTTGATAGCGATGTCCTGCGCGTGCTTCAGAATATGGCCGCGAGTTGCTTTCAGATTCTTGTTCGCCACGGCACGGACCGGAGCGTCGGAATTCTTCGCCAGAGCCACGAATTCCGTGAGCAAGCGCTGGAACCCGTAGACGCACTTCACGCCTAATCCGCACCGCGAATCATCAATCGAGGTAAGGTCCTGCACGCGATCACAGAAAATAGGTCAGTTTCGGAGAGGCGCGCAGAAATGGGCAATCAGTGAGTGCGGTTGATGTCCCACGAACCATGTGTTTCCGCTCCAAAGCCATCACCCGCGGATGCGCCAGTTTAAGGCTGGGCTCCTTGTCCTGTTTTGCATACCTCTCGAAAGAGGACTTGAACCACCTGCGACCACAGTCGCACGGGAACGAGTCAGAAGTCGGAATCACCGCGAACCCTCCGAATGCGAAACAAATCGTGACAGTTTTCTTACGTGAGAATCTCGTGCACCTTCGCGGCGTGCCCGTTAGGTCCCATGCTCGGGTCAATATGGATGAGTCGAGTAGCGCAGCCCTCTCTGTCCTCGTTCTGCAAGTCATTCGGCTTGAAAAACACAATAATGCTACACAGCGGCTCGTTGATATCCGACCTGCACATCGCGACGCGAAAAAATCGTAAGGCACTGCACGAGTTGCATTCCGCTTTGCTCGTAAAAATCGCGGCCAAACCGTACTTGGACCACAGGGTGAAGACTAGGAGGTCGGACTCGAGCATGACCGGTATGGGGGCGTCGGATGCCAGCAACTTTGCCTGCTGCGCCGACGTATAAATCTTTGTCTTTTTGCGACGCTCTCCTCCGTGTTTCTCCAACACGTAACTGAGAATGGAACAAAAAAAAACGAGCAGATTAGAACCGTCATAACAATACCGGCGCACGATTGAAGATGAAACACGAAGCGCACTCTTACATGCACGCGAAATCGAGGACTGTGGCGGTGAAGTCGGCGCTCTCGTCCGCGAGAACGGACTTGTCTTCCGCGGCCAGCACAACGGTGGCTCCGCCCGCCTCCACGGCGACGTCAAACTTCTTAAGGCACGCGACGGGGTCGGACAACGCTCGCGCCTCACGAGCCATCCTGCCGAAAGCGAGAACGGCACGATTCAACACGGCACACGCGACCAACCCTAATGCAACATTCGCATCACGAAAACACAGTGACTGGAATCAACGACGCGATTAATGACGGGATTCAACGACGCGGAAAGGGGATGGGTTTAACGACGCGAAAAAAAACGGGCTCAACGACGCGAAGAATGACGGGTTTCTCCGACGCGAAAAATTGCAAGGTTTAACGACGCGAAAAATGAGGGGCTCAACGTCGCGAAAAATGACGGAGTCAACGGCGCGAAAAAAGAGCAGCAAAAAAAACCCAAACCGCCCCGGCGACTGGGCACGGTTTCTACAATCCCGAAATTCGCTTTAGCCCGGTCGAGGAGAACTAGATCACTGCCGCTTCGGCGGCACAAAACTGGGAAAATGAAATACAACACACCGCACTCCACAACGAATCGCGGGGCCTACAACGCACCTAGCTATCCGCGCTCACCCCTTGCACACAAAATCCGCCCATCCTCCTACACCTTTCCCCTAGCCCAAGCCCCCGTTGCTCACCTGGTTTGAAGTTCGAAAGCAGAAGCGAAGGTTGAGAAGCAGAAGCGAAGGTTGCAAAAAAATCACAAACGACTTGCGCAAATGAGAAATGACGGCCTCGGGCCCCTTTTACCCCCTCCCCACCCGTGAACCCACAGCTGCTCCATCCGCCGGTTCGGGTTCACGCGAACCGGGACTTTCGCCACGGACGTGTCCCAAACCGCGGCTGTGAGGCTCGTTGGGGTTTCGTCCTCGCCTCAGCGTCGCTCGTTTGCCTGCTCGGGGATTTAGTGTACCGTGTGGCACGCGAAGTGTACAATCGCGATTGTGATGGAGTTGTTTTAGCTATTGTGATGCGCTAATGAAATAAATAAACGCAACATCGAAATGAACGAAAGGACATGCACGCGCTTTCAACAGCATCGTAACAGCATCGTCGCGCAACATCGAAATTCACGAAACGACATGCACGGGCTTTCAGCAGCATCGTAACAACGTCGTCATTCGCGAAGGTCGCAGACGGTCGGGATTTTCCGAGGACATGGGTCGCCAAGGGGGTTACCGGTCCGGGCCCCTTGCCGCGTCAGCGTGGCTCGGCCCGGGCAGTTGGCCGAGTCAGGTGGCCCCGAGCAGCTGCGTCACCAGGTCGGGTTCCGAGTCAGCTGGGTGGTCCCCACGGGCAGCTCCGGCTGGGCGTCCCGGTCAGGCTCCGAAGGGCCGGGCCTCGGTTCCCTCGCCAGGAGGGTCGGGCGAGCTGGGCGGTTGACAGGGCAGTCCCAGGCTGGCCTCGCTCGCGTGCCCGGGGTGACGACGGCGAGGGCATCGGCCCCCCTCGCGACCCCCCCCTCGCTGAGGAACCCGACACCCTCGGCCCGAATAGAGCATCTAATACATACGTACAGTGTTTTTTTCCGCGGATCCGCGCACGTGAAACAGGCGAGCGGAACGGATTCGGGCGGTAAAGGCGGACACGCGTCCGCCAGTGAGCGAGGGACGCTGCATGCCGCGAGGGATTCCCAAGGGACCCTCGCTGAGGAAAACTTTTCCCTCGCCCCGACGGCCCTAGGGAATACCTACGGGTTACCGAACGGATTACTGGCCGTTGAAAGCCCGCGGAAACCCCAGGGGAAACCGAGTTCCCCCGTCGCAAGCCACGTGTCGCCCACTCGCGCGTCGCACATTGACACGCGGCGAGTTTGGATTAAAAGGCGAAATGGCTCGGCGATTTCGCAGCAGCATCCGGGCGACGACGACATCGCGCGAAAAAGGGGTGGAAAGCCACAAATCCCGTTCGTGCCACTTGTCGTTCTGACAGTGATGGCCATGTGCCAGAGCACCACCAAGCGCGGCATGAAACGATCCCAAAGTGATCCAACGGCTGTATCGCGCGCAACGCGAAAATTGCATGAGCGAGAATGTATGTTTGGAGCCATGCAGAGAGGGGCTGAGTCATACTCTTCCGTGTGTTCTTGAACGCGATGCCGGACAACGTCTAGGGAACCGAAGCACGGACAGGAGGACAGTGCTGGGTATAAATATGTGAGATCCGTTCATTCTAGCCCTCTTTTCCCACGATCACCTGCAAAAGGACTTAGCCGATTTGGCATCAACCTTTCCTCGGTGAGTGTGTTACCTGCCCATGTGTTATCCTCCCGCATTTGTCTCTTCGTAGTCATGCCGCGCCGGCCGCAGAATCATCCCCATCGTTCGCGTGACATCCCGACAGCACAGCAGCCCGGTCCGAATCCACCCGGCACCGCGAACGCAGCAGCAACGCGAAGCCCTCATGACGTGATGGAGAGGGTTGCTTCGGTAGCTAGAAACCACCGTCCAGCACCGCAACGAACGGGTAACGCATGGGGAATGCCAAGGACGAGCACGAACATTGGTAGAACTGGCGAACAGCCACCGACACAGACAGCCGCGAACCGGATGGCACCCAGCATGCAGCCACACACAGGAACTGCCGCGAACGGCTTTAGTTTCGGAATGCCGAGCGCACAGCATCCAGACCGCGGCGGAACTAGTTTCGCACAACCCACCCAGACTGCCACAAACTGGACGGGACCCAGCATGCAGCCGCCACACACAGGAACTCCCGCAAACGGCTTTACTTTTGGAATGCCGACCGCGCATCATCCCGACCGCGAACGTTACAGCGGAATTGGTTTCGCGCAACAACCCACCCAGAATGCCGCGAACTTGACAGTACCCAGCATGCAGCCTCCACACACAGGAGCAGCCGCGAACGGCATTCTTTTCGGAATGCCGATCGGACAGCATCCCGACCGCGAACGCTACAGCGGTGTAGGTTTTGGGCACCCACCGACTCAGTCAGCCGCGAATTTGGCGTCACCCTGCGGAGTAGGTTTTGCGCACCCACCGACTCAATCAGCCGCGAACATGGCGTCACCCAGCGGAGTAGGTTTTCCGCACCCATCGACTCAGACAGCCGCGAACATGGCGTTTCCCAGCACGCTGCCACGAACAGCTACAGTCGTGAACAGCAACGGTCTTGGCATTCCGATCGCTCAGAACTACGAACGCGTTCAGGGCAGCAGTGTCAGATTCGCCCAACACGCGAATCTTGGCATGCCTGGGCCTGCAGCCCCACGGACTGCAGAGCCATCTCACACGCAGATTGATCCGCGAACGTCCGTTACAGAAGCCAACCGCGAAGAACAGGAGCGCGTGACGGAGCCACAGGGCAGAAACGCAGATGTGGAGGATGACGATGATGACGAAGATGACACGATGCCTGATCTGAATCTGAGACGCCCAGGAGAGCGAACGGGGGACGGTGCTGCAGGAGGTGTCGGTGGAACACCAGAGAATGAGATTCGTCCTCACAGTATCGAGATACGGCCCCGAGAAGCAGCGGAACTGAACGAAATGTTGACGGGAGTGGAGAGGGTGCAGAGTCTCATTACCGACAAGGCGATAGCCGACTGGATGAAGCTTCCCGCGAGCACGGGCGTTAGCTCGAAGTTGCATTTCGTCCGCAACATCTTGCGTGTGTTGAGCCCCAAAACGCGGAAAAAATACGTCGCGGCGATAAGGGAGTTCAAACGCTGGTTTGCTCACGAGGTTCCACATCTCCTACGGGACGACTTTCCAGAAGACGCGAAAATGGCACATGAGGATGAGGTGGGCTATTTGCTTGGGATGGACAGGGGTGCAGCGTGGGAATCAGCACCCGATGAGGACTGTCTGTTCCATGGTCCGCGAATTACACGCTGGCGGCTGAAAATGTTCATCACGTATTGCTCGACGGAGTCACCTAAACAGGCGCGAATGCTAGCAAGGCTTAACCCCAAGACTCCCATTCGTAAAAGAGTTGCATGCAGCGTGTCAATGGTCAAAGCCCGGTTCACCGCGCTGAAGACCCAATGCAGGGCAGAGACGGTGTTGCTGGAGGGAGAGGACCTCACGACAAATGTGGACGAGGTTGCGGTCGTGGTGTCCCTCATGATGCGCCAGCAATACAAGAAGTTCAAGGAGTAAGTTCCATGCCATTCACGCCAAACTCTGAAAGCAACCGTGAATTATTGGTTCTGATTAACTAATGTGTTCGCAATCCGTTCATATGCAGTATGTACCTGGATCGTCACAAGGGCACGTCCGCGGACGTTTACACGCTGGCGGAGTTCAAGAATTTGATGCGATTTTGCTGGCCCGGGGATGCGATTGAACAATTCAATCCCAAACACCCACAGCCATCAGGTATTCTGAACAGAGCCCTATTCGCGAACGTGATGTTCCTAGTCAGCCATCACACGCTGTGTCGCGCAGGCACGGTCCGTGAAATTCAACTTCCAGACCTTCAGTTCAGCAAGTTTGGCGGTGAGGACGAGACGGACCCGGTGAATGACGCGGATATAGTTACGATCGTGACGCGAAATGGCAAAACTCTCCAGAACTTCGGGATGCACAACTACAGTGCAGCGCGAAACATCGACTACATGATATGCCCAGTCGGGCATATTTTCCGCTTACTTCACTGGACATACGATCTGGTGCCTCGGTTCTACGAGGACGGCGCACATTTCGTACCACCCCTCAACTGTACAGACCCCAAAAAATGGTACGACCTGTACCTCTTCTTCAATGACCACGATGGCAAGCAGAACCGGGAGGCCGTTCCGCACGGAACGTATCACGACTGGGTTAAGTACGGGTTCAGTCTGGCGGATATCGAGATAAACCGCGTCACACACGCTGCACGAGCATCCAACGCCCATATTCTCTCAATGATGGGTGTTTCGGACAGGGAGATCGAAAGGCAGGGCAACTGGACATCAAATGCTCTGACGAAGCATTATCTCCCAAACGTGGCGCGAGATGCTGTTCTGAGATCTGTTGGATTCACGGGTCTGACGGGTGACTATCACATCGGCCGCTCAAAGGTTCCACCGAGCCCTTACCTCCAAGAACTGTTCCGGCGCGAAATCTTCCCTTTTGTGGAAGAACAGCTGGAGTTGGTGCGTACCCTGTTGCCGCGTCCCTTACTTATTTCGTGCTCGTTAATCGCGTTTTTCTGAGACTCTAACACGCTTTTTGCAGGTGCGCCGTCGGAACGCATCTGGGCCTTCATCGCAACAAGACATGGCTGCTATTCATTTCGTGAAAGCCCTCCGAGACTTTGGGAGGAGGATTGTGGCCGAGGACCTGGCCATGATGCTCGTGAAGAACCCAGCGCACCCATACGTGAGGGCCCCGAACTTGTGCAAGGATCCGATTTTCAAGGCCTGGGCGCGTGAGGTCGCGTGGAGTGACGATGCTGGAATTGCGCTCCGGAATTCGCCAACCATTTGTACACAAGCGGTGAGAGTGCCTAATTTTCCGCGCATTAGAAAATTAATTGCAATCCTTCGCGCACAAGTACTTACGAATCCTTCACCTGACAGGAGGTGTCTCGACGATTGCACTCGGAACATCGCTGCGTTCAACTGACGGCGGAGCTGAACATGGTGAAGGATTCACACCGCGCCAAAACTGTGGAGCTGGAATCGGAAAGGTGGACAACATCAGAGCTGCGGAAGGAACTGGAAGCAGCGCGACAACAAATCGCGGCTTTGTCCGTCAGTGCTTCTTCTTCGCGCGTCCAGGAGCCGCCGCAAACCGCGCCTGACCCGCCCCCCCGACCCCCACTCGACGCCGCGGGGAAGGATTTCAAGACAGAGCGGTTTCGACCTTGGATCAAGGCGGGCACAGTCCAGGAAGCGTGGCGGATATGGTGCTGGCCTTTCGGGGAAACGGGACTGACACTTCGGGACGAGGTCGGGAAAGGTGGCTTCACGGGGAAGTACGAGCTCGTAAAGTCAGAAGAATCGGCGATGACGCGGCAGAAAAGATTGATGGCTGCTGTGACGGAATATGCGAATTCACGTGGTGGCGCGACTGAAGAAGTGATTCCAATTCTGGAAGGCATTGGCTCGCGTCTCGGATTCGGGGTACTTCGTGACGGGCTGACGTGCAAGACGTCAAAGCCCTGCAACGAAAAGGCCGACTCACTGCGAAAGAACAAATCGGCCATGGAGAAATTGAATGTCGCGGTGGAACTTGTCAAGCGTGGCTTTGAGGACGAAGAATGGGGCAAGACGGTGTTTCCGAACTGCTGGAGAGTGTTTTTCAAAGGCGCGAACGACACAACCACGAATGACGCGACAGAGACTACCCCGAACGATTCCAACAAAAGGCCGCGCGAAGCTTGAAAGCGCGTTTCCAGATTCTGTTTTCTGAGTCTGTTCGTGTATGATAAACTGCCGACTTTCCCCTGATATTCGTAACTGTTTTCGTAACTGTTGTGATTCTAGTAAATCAGACCTCTTAGCCCTCTGCAATCAAGATCTTAGCCCTCTGCAATCAAGATTCAGTTCGAGACTCTAAACCCCAGTTCACACCTAAACAACTGAAGCACAACCCGATTTAAGAACGACAAAAAAAGAGCAAATTCCGTGTTCGCAAATTTGAAACAGCATTGCGCGAAAACCATGCCGCGATCAAGACTCCTCCTACTCCTCTTCGTCAAGATCAACAATCGGCTGGGAGCCTCCCTCTTCGTCGGCCGATTTCGCGGCAGCCTTTTTTCCACGCGACCGGCTAACGTCACGATTCTTGGCCTTCGCGCGATCGTCACCGCACTCGATATACAGACCCAGCGGTTGATTTCCCACGAACCATGTGTTTCCGCTCGAAAGCCATCACCCGCAGATGCGCCAGTTTAAGGCTGGGCTCCTTGTCCTGTTTTGCATACCTCTCGAAAGAGGACTTGAACCACCTGCGACCACAATCGCACGGGAACGAGTCAGAAGTCGGAATCACCGCGAACCCTCCGAATGCGAAACAAATCGTGACAGTTTTCTTACGTGAGAATCTCGTGCACCTTCGCGGCGTGCCCGTCAGGTCCCATGCCCGGGTCAATATGGATGAGTCGAGTAGCGCAGCCCTCTCTGTCCTCGTTCTGCAAGTCGTTCGGCTTGAAAAACACGATAATGCTACACAGCGGCTCGTCGATATCCGACCTGCACATCGCGACGCGAAAAAATCGTAAGGCACTGCACGAGTTGCATTCCGCTTTGCTCGTAAAAATCGCGGCCAAACCGTACTTGGACCACAGGGGGAAGACTAGGAGGTCGGACTCGAGCATGACCGGTATGGGGGCGTCGGATGCCAGCAACTTTGCCTGCTGCGCCGACGTATAAATCTTTGTCTTTTTGCGACGCTCTCCTCCGTGTTTCTCCAACACGTAACTGAGAACGGAACAAAAAAAACGAGCAGATTAGAACCGTCATAACAATACCGGCGCACGATTGAAGATGAAACACGAAGCGTACTCTTACATGCACGCGAAATCGAGGACTGCGGCGGTGAAGTCGGCGCTCTCGTCCGCGAGAACGGACTTGTCTTCCGCGGCCAGCACAACGGTGGCTCCGCCCGCCTCCACGGCGACGTCAAACTTCTTAAGGCACGCGACGGGGTCGGACAACGCTCGCGCCTCACGAGCCATCCTGCCGAAAGCGAGAACGGCACGATTCAACACGGCACACGCGACCAACCCTAATGCAACATTCGCGTCACGAAAACACAGTGACTGGAATCAACGACGCGATTAATGACGGGACTCAATGACGCGGAAAGGGGATGGGTTTAACGACGCGAAAAAAAGCAGGCTCAACGACGCGAAGAATGACGGGTTTCTCCGACGCGAAAAATTGCAAGGTTTAACGACGCGAAAAATGAGGGGCTCAACGTCGCGAAAAATGACGGAGTCAACGGCGCGAAAAAAGAGCAGCAAAAAAAACCCAAACCGCCCCGGCGACTGGGCACGGTTTCTACAATCCCGAAATTCGCTTTAGCCCGGTCGAGGAGAACTAGATCACTGCCGCTTCGGCGGCACAAAACTGGGAAAATGAAATACAACACACCGCACTCCACAACGAATCGCGGGGCCTACAACGCACCTAGCTATCCACACTCACCCCTTGCACACAAAATCCGCCCATCCTCCTACACCTTTCACCTTTCACCTGGTTTGAAGGTTGAGAAGCAGAAGCGAAGGTTGCAAAAAAATCACAAACGACTTGCACAAATGAGAAATGACGGCCTCGGGCCCCTTTTACCCCCTCCCCACCCGTGAACCCACAGCTGCTCCATCCGCCGGTTCGGGTTCACGCGAACCGGGACTTTCGCCACGGACGTGTCCCAAACCGCGGCTGTGAGGCTCGTTGGGGTTTCGTCCTCGCCTCAGCGTCGCTCGTTTGCCTGCTCGGGGATTTAGTGTACCGTGTGGCACGCGAAGTGTACAATCGCGATTGTGATGGAGTTGTTTTAGCTATTGTGATGCGCTAATGAAATAAATAAACGCAACATCGAAATGAACGAAAGGACATGCACGCGCTTTCAACAGCATCGTAACAGCATCGTCGCGCAACATCGAAATTCACGAAACGACATGCACGGGCTTTCAGCAGCATCGTAACAACGTCGTCATTCGCGAAGGTCGCAGACGGTCGGGATTTTCCGAGGACATGGGTCGCCAAGGGGGTTACCGGTCCGGGCCCCTTGCCGCGTCAGCGTGGCTCGGCCCGGGCAGTTGGCCGAGTCAGGTGGTCCCGAGCAGCTGCGTCACCAGGTCGGGTTCCAAGTCAGCTGGGTGGTCCCCACGGGCAGCTCCGGCTGGGCGTCCCGGTCAGGCTCCGAAGGGCCGGGCCTCGGTTCCTGTCATAATAAGAGACTGGAATGACTGTACTAACAGAAGGATGGATACAAATAGGAAACCCTAATCCAGTGTACCCCCTAAGGTATCACCCACTACAGCCTACAATCATATAAACATATAATGTTTGACACACCCCCATAGGCAAAGTGGGGGAGACCTAGGGGTCACAAGACCAGTCAAGGCAAAGCAAGGCAACAACAAGCTCAGGGTGGATCTCAAGGATTCCACACAAATTCCGAGCACAAGCTAGCGGTCACAAGACCAGTTCACATGCAGGTTTATA